AATTCTCTTCTACTGTATATATTTAATTAAATTTAAAAATTCTACTATTATATCAAAACGATTTAACTATATTTTTATTCTTCAATTAATCGTTAATCATGTGGTTTTTATTTTGTTTAAGTACTTTCTTTTAGCTATAATCCATCTTCTGATCTTTCTTTCTCACCTTATTCATTCATCATTGGCATCATCGATTTTTCTCATTCATTGTCTGTCTATAAACTCTTCATATAATACTTGACCTTAAATTCTTCTCTTTTCTTCTATAACAATATATCTGTTGTATAGAAAAACTTAATAAATAAATATATATATATTTATATTTTATTTAGAAAAATATTTCATATAAAAATATGTGATTGTTTTTATTTTTATTTCAATCTAAAAAAATATTTTTCTCAACACTTGAAATTTTAAAACGAACAATTATTTTAATCATTATTTTCATCAAACTTGTTATTAAAATATGAGAAAAGAAAAAAATAAAAAGAAAGTTTACAAAACAATAATATGAAGTGATACTGATTTTATTTCAAGTAGTATAACACTTCGATTAATCCATCAAAAAGACGAAAATAACAAAAATCAAATTATTTCATCATGAACTTCTTTTCGTCTATTCAATCTCTTCTTATAAAATTCGTTTGTGTGTGAACAATCTGCTTCTTACGGAGATTTGCTCTCTTTTTTTTGTCAAGTAATTAGGTGTCAACTTGTTTGATAGATTCACGCCTTTTCTCTTGTTCAACCGACTCGGCATCATGATGACTTCAAATAAAAAAAAAAAGAAAATTCTGAATATGAGAACGTATTTAGGTATCAGTGATAATCACTGATGGCGGCAATATACGAATGAATTGCATCATATTTTTTTTTATGTGTTGTGTTGCACGACGCGCGCACATACATTTTATATAAATGCAAAGACATTTGAAATTAGAAACAACAAATGATTATGATAGGTAGATGTTAAAAGTCTCATTTTGTTTGAGATATGATCAACGAACTAGACATGATTTGAGACTAAAAGAACCTAGACGAACGAGCGATAAGCATCAATACAACGTTGATTCGTCAATTGTCTCTAATCGTTTCCTCTCTCTCACATACGACCATCTTCAAACGTGAACACTCAATTGACTACGAAGAAGTGCGCGCACGCTCTCTCTCTCGTTCGTTTGTGCGTACGCTTACTATATGGACATATACTAAATAATTCACAGTTACTGCCTGAGTAGTAAACACACATGCACACTGATGATGAACAATCAATGACACTTTTATGCCGGCAAAAAAAAAAAAAAGAAGAGTTTTCCTGTGTATGTGTATGTGTGTGTGCATCATTATTATCCATCGATGAAGAAAGAAAGAAAAAGAAAAGACGGGCAGGTGAAAAAGAAAGTCAAGAAGCAGAACAAAAAGATGAGAAAGCGCATTGAAGCAAACATACAATCGTTCTCAACTAATTGCGACCAAATGTCTTTTTTTTCAAAAAAAAAAAAATAAAAGAAGAAGAGAAAAAAAAACATGATATCTATCGTTTTCGAGACAAACATCATCAAGCAAACTTCAGGTGTCACCATTGAGTTGACTGTGAAAATGAACAAATTTACACAGACGGTGACGACGACTACTACAATTCTTTTTTTTCTAACATTCAATATTAGTTTAAGTATATGCGCTCATTAGTTTATATATATATATATATGGTGCGGTATGGAAAAGAAAAAGTTGTTAACTTAGATCGAGACGATTTCCCTGATGCACATACTTTGCATGTTTCGATTAATCTTCCAAGTTAAAACTAAACCAAAACACAGAACAAATTGTCTCTAGTGTGTTTTGTTTGCTTCGTTACTTGAATTCTTCGTTCGTTTTGGTTGCTATATTAAATATTTCCTGTTTATCGCGTGATTCTAATTCGATTTTGACAATTTCTTTTTTTTCTTCTTTTTCTTCGTCTTCTTTTATTTCCACTCATCATCTTGAAAATGAAGAAAACGTGCCTTTCAAATATTTATATATATTGAAGATGTGACATGATAGATTGGATGGATAGATGGAATATAGGAAAGTTTTCTTTTTTTTTCTTTTTTTTTTTCATCGTCTTCGGTCAACTAAATTTTGTCTGGTCTGCTCTATTTCTCTTTAGTATTTATTTTCTATTATTGATAAGGTGCTCTCTCGTATGTGCGCATGCGTCCGTCGTCATCACCGTGTGTTCAAGCTCTCAGAAAGAGAGTAAAATCATTAAGATCGAATGACATCTTCACTTCTCAACGATTTTTTTTTCTACTTTACTTGCTCGGTTATCAGTTTATTCTCTCTCTCTCTCTCTTCCCGTTCGTCGGGAAGATGGTTTCGGCTACCGATCGATAGAAGAGAGAGAGAGAGAGAGAGAGAAAAAAGATCACTAAGATCTTGACAAACGGTAGTTGCCTCCTCCTCCTCATTCTCGTCGTCCTGCTTCATTTTCTTTCTCTCTCTCTCTCTCTTATGCGCTTGGTTTTTACTACTCACTCATTCAGCGAGTGTTATTTTTTGTGTGATGGTAATAGTGGAAGCAAAAAATGATTTCCCCACTCGTCCCTTCTCCTCCTTCTTCTTCTCTCTCGTCCGTCGTTTTGTTCTGATATAGTCTAGCAGCTTCACTTGTTCCAATAGTGCACGTAATTATCTTGTCTCGTTCTCTCTTCGTCGAATCACAATTCGTCGAGTGTGCATTTAGCGAGCAAATAGAATCCTACCGACAAGAAAAAGAAGAGAGAGATAGGACGTCGTCGTCAAATATCGCATCAATCAAATACGATCGAAAAAGAGAGAGCGAGAAAGAAGAGAAAAAAAAGAGGTTTTTCTTTCTTTTTTTTCCCGAGCACCATCACCAGTCCCGGTCTCTTAATCACATATATACACGCATACAAAAAAAGAAGCTTGTAACAACTGCAATAACATACTACGATTTTGCTGTTCAAGTACAACAGTAGCAATAAATATACATATATATACATATATATATATTCAGGTAAGCGAAAGAAAAGGGTCACGATGCGAAAAGACAACAAGGTGATATACATATGCTAATTTGATGTAAAGGTAAAAATTCTTTGTCTAATCACATGTCAACAAAAACAACAACGAGAAGAAAAAAACGAACGTTTCCTCTAGCATAAACGTACAAAACGGTGCCTCAAGCTTTTTGACGGTGTCCATTTCCTTTTTAGAGTGACACAGGAAATCAATTGGATCGCTTTTTTTTTTTATTCGATTTCTCTCACTTATGCTTCATTGTTACAAACGATTTTGTGACATAGTGATATTTTGATAAGGTAGTGTCTCTTTCTATGTTATTGTTATTTTTTTTAAAAAGCGTCGATTTTTTTTTCTTATCGTTCTCCTACTCTTTCTAAACCAATAAAGGTTTCTTTTTTTCGTTTTAAGTCTTTTACTCATCAACAAGATGCAATATATACTTTATTGAATACAAATGAATCTTTCATTGATGTATTTTTTTCAATAACAACTCAACTCTACCTATTGACATAATCATTAGTTATTGACACTAGGGGTAGTGTTCGGAGACATATATATATATATATATATAAAGAGAGAACAGTTGTACGGTTGCAACCACTCACCTCCTCTTCGTTTGAATCAAATCAATCATCGAAAGAGAGAGAGAGAGAAAGAGAAATAAAAATATAAGAGGCTCATATCATGACGCGTGAAAAAAAAAAGACGACGACAACGACTAGTAGACTGTCTTCTCCTCTCCACTTAAAGTTTGCTTATAACGTGTGTGTATGCAAAATGTAGATAACAAAAACTCTTATTTCCGATTTTTTTCGACTTCCTCAAGAGTCTCTTGTCAAATTAGCTGCGTAGAGATTTTTTTTCTCACTTTTTATGTCTCTATTCTTTGACGGATGATCTATGATATGTACGGTCGATGAATTTTAATCATTTTCATCGTTTCCGTAATCGAGATGATGAGCTCTTTAGGGATCCATACCGGCAACAACAATCTATACGTTATTACCCAAGCGCACACGCGCATCTAAATAGGTTTTTTTCTTCTTCGTCTTTTTTTTTTCATCGTTCATTGTCGACTGCTATCGATCATCATATAGTATGATGATGGTGATCTCTATTCTCATTTTCATTCTGTGAACATGAATGCACGGTGAGATAGACAATGGTGTCAAAATATATTAAGTGTCTTTCTTTGTCTCTATCGTTATGTTCTCATCCCTTTGCGCGTATATGCACATTGGGAAGGAAGCTCCCAAATGGGAAATAGAAGATTTATCATAGAGCTTGACTAGCCGCTGAGCTAAAGTACCAGCTGGCAGTAATGTTGCATTGTAGCAAAAGCAAAAAGGTCGAGAAAGAGAGAGAGAGAGTGAGAGAGAGAGAGAGAGGATAAAAAAAAAGAAATAATAATGATGATGATGATGATGATGACGGTGACATCGTTATTGTTAGTGTTTGTTCACTACACATACATCAAAGTGAACCTTTTCTCTCTTTTTGCTTCCCTCCCTAGCAGGTGTGTATGTCCATCAGGAAAGCGGAAACGGAAAAACCAAGTTTTTGCTCGGTTTTTTTCTCGTCTCACTCGTTCTTTATTTTGACAAAAAACGCATATACGCCCATCCTTCATCATCATTTTCCTTCTTTTCATATATATATATATATATATTATTTTTATTCTTAGCAACCAGAGAAAAAAGAAAATGACTTTCATATAAACACATAATAGTAAAGCAAAGAAGAAAAAAAAAAAAAAAAGAAAAGAAGAACGAGAAAAATGTCGATGATTTTAACGAATAGTATTCGACGGAAGGATGAGCCACAGAGAGACACTTTTGTGACATCGGCGTATTTTGATTGGTTATGAACCAAAAAAAAAAGCACATACTTCTCTTTTTTTGTTTCTCTCTTATTCTAGACTTAAAAGAAATTCTTATCGACAAAATCGTCGAATGTGAGCTGTATGCGCAATGAACACTCGTATTGTCGTTGAAACGATTCGAACAGGTATCATGTTTTCGATGAAAAAAAAAAAAAAAAGAAAAAAATTTTCATTCTCTCTCTCCCACACACACACACATACACTTGACATCCAGGTCATGCTATCAATATATTCACTGAATGCTTGACTTCTTGATAAGAACATTTCGTCTCTTCTCTCTTGTTTTCTTATCAATTCTTGTACTCATCTTTGTTTTTATTGTACCTAGTAGATTTCAATTCAAATACAAATACTAAAAAAACACCATTCAGTCATCATTTATTTTCTGCAAATTCATTTCTTAATTATACGAAGTCAGATCGAAGAACGAGTTCACCAATTGATCATCAACCAGCAGAAGAAGACAACGAAGATATTCCTACGGACGACGATCTTGACGAAGATTCATGTAACAGGTAAATTAAAATATAAAACAAAAAAGATAATTGATGATACACATACACGCGTCAAATGACTAATGATTAAAAAAAGAAGAACGTATGTTCTATTCGTTTGATGACTTCACTACCTATAATCAATTATCATCGATATATTGATGACGATGGTGAGAAGAACAGGTGTCGTCGAATTTTTTTTTCTCTCCCTTTCTTTTTAGTTTATATGTGTGCACCCGATTCAAACAAATTGATCGACAAACATATAGCGAGAAAGAGAGAGAGAGAGAGAGACACCAAACACACTTTATCATTATCTGTCGTTCACTTATGTGAGCACATATGCTGACATGTTGATATCTTTGCTTTGAAAAACCCGTCCCGAAGAGTTCAATACTAATGAGCTGTGTGTATATATGTGGATGAGAACTAGTTCGATAAACATGACTACCTATACGTTGAAAAGATTTATGCCTTTTTATTTAATAACCTGAAGTTCATTTTGAAAAGATATGATAAGAGAATATATATATAGTCTATGATGCGTAGATCGTTACTGTCGTGTTCGATAATTTACTGGTCTAGTTCATAGCGTGTTTGAACATCTTCTTCTTTTTTTTTTCAAAAAACATATGGAATGAGACACATTTTTGACACATCAAAGTTCGTCTTCTTTTTTCTTCTTCATAAATGCGAAAAGAAAACCAGTAGCAACATCTGTTTTACGTTTGAAAATATAATACAATAGACACAAAAAAAAAAAAAAAATAATAAAGAAAACGTCGTTTATATTCGATTGAGAATCCATGTCATTGGACGAATGCAATAGTGAGAAGAAGCAAAAAGAAAAAGAAAATTTCGATCGTATTCTTTTCTTATCCCATTTTTATGAAGAAATGTTTTTCATTTGGTTTTAATTATATAACATGCATAGATCAAACAAGATGATACAAAGAATATTTTTTTTAGTATTTATCCACATGATCAACAACAAGACGAAGTGACTAAAGATCAAGAAAGTGCTGATACACATACAATTTGGAATGCAAATAAAGTAAGTACATTAGAAGAAAAAAAAAGAAGAAGAAGAAGTTTTATCATTAAAAAAAAAGAAAAAACAGGAGAAAACCCGTTTGCATGTTTGATGAAGAAGGGGTGGACATATACGAAGAAAAAAATCTTTTAAAAGCTTGTCTTGTCGACAATAGAACACGAGACAATTATCAGCGGATTTACCAATATAACCAATAGAAATCAGAATGAACTAGGAAAAAAAATGTCTTTTATATATATATATAAATACACCACCTATGAGAGAAGAAAGAAGTGTCTTTATTTCATTTGTAACATAGTCATTTTGAACAAAGATGGTTATCTTTTTTTGACAGATGGATTAATAAATATACATGATGCAGGTATGGAATATTTTTTATTTTATTTCAATTGGATAGAAATTATAGTATGTTCGTGTTCTGTCCTTCTCCTTCTTTCTTTTTTATTTTTTATTGACATCCCACGTATTGAGTGAGTTGACACTAATGGTGATCAAATATGAATGAGAGAGTTCCCGTTTTTCATCTCATGCGTGTGTATAGTATGATTGTTATTACTCGAAAAAAAAAAAAATTCTTCGATTAATCGTCTGCATAGTACCATGCGACGACAAGAGCTCCTCCTGCTCATCGATTCGAACCAAATGAAAAATGAGTGTCGTGTGTATATAGGAGTTAGTAAAAAAAAAAAAAAAAAAAAGAAAAAGAGTGATTGATCGATTTTAACAATACATTTCTATATAAAGAAAAGGTGTATGGATGGATTATTACATTTTGATCGAGTGACCAACCACTATTTCAAGTGTCGAATATCATCCTAACTACCAATATGTTGACTTTGATGGTTGAACATATTCGTTGTGTGTGTGTGTGTTTTTTTTTGATATTTTCGGACGAGTCAGGTCATTGACCCTTACGGCACAGAGGTGTGTACATATATATATATGCTTTTGAACAGTGCCGCACGAAGTCAATCTATATTTGCATTATCATCATTTGAAAAAATATCCGATGTTCATAAAAGTCTGTTTTCTGGCGCAAAAAAAAGAATCTAAATTGTCCATCGCATCACATATCATTTGTTTGATATTGGACAACCTTTAGAAAAAAAAAAGAAAAGAAATGAACATTGAACAAATGAAAATTGGCCTTTGGGGCTAAAAATTGAATCATTTGAAAAATAGAAATATTTTGTTTTATGAGAAAAAACATATTTGTTAGGTTTTATTATTGAATAAGAAGGCGGATTAACACAAATTTTTATGTGTACTCTCACCCGAGGTGGTCCTACTTGACTCATCATGTTTTCAAGACGTTCAATACATAAAAACTCAGTGATAATTACTTTGCTCTGAAAATGAGGTGTGAATGAAGAGAAGAAAAAGAAGAGTTGATTGACAATAGCTAACTGACCGCCTTTCACACCTTTACTCTCCGATTATCGCCTATATAGTTTTTATGTTATATACATATATTGTCATCAAATTTCGAGTGTCTTGTCAGAATTTGCGAAGAAGTGTGTGACAATGAGCAATATGTATCAAGAGAAAACTAATAAAGAATCTGTTTTGTTTGTTGCCGATATCGCCTGATGCTCGTTCGCGTCTCACCTGTGTGTACGACGCACGGACGAAAAAACATAATTACACACGGGACGCCGTCCCTCCGTGATGGAATCATATACATATACATATATATATATATGTATACGTATATATAAAAAGAGAGAGAGAATGCGATTGTTCAGTTAATTTTAGATTCTTTTCATGTTATTCTTATTGAATGAGTGAGTTGAGCTGAGCTGATTGTTGACTATCGGCATCGGCATCGTCTTTATCACATCCGTTCTAACATCGATGATTGAATTTGACAAGTAGCACCGACAATAGAAGAAGAAGAGATTCGAAGACAAGTAAACATATAATATAGTGTTTTTATTATTATTATTATTGTTAGTAGTCTTATTTTCATTTATCTTTAAATGTTTAATAATCATTTATTATTTTATAGGTTTCACCAACATACGACGATAATACACCAAGTATTCAATATTCAAATTCTGATTCGGAATTAGAAAATTCAAATCATAATACAAATTCAATAAATAATAATCATCATCATCATCATCATCCTTGTCGAGAATGTGGAAAATCTTTTGCTACAACAAGTGGTTTAAAACAACATATGCATATACATTCATCAATAAAACCATTTCAATGTGAAGTTTGTTTTAAATCTTATACACAATTTTCAAATCTTTGTCGACATAAACGAATGCATGCTGATTGTCGTACACAAGTTAAATGTAGATTTTGTGGACAAACATTTTCGAACAGTGCTGCACTTAATAAACATCGGTAAAAAAAAAGACATTTTTTTTTTTTCTATCAAATATTTTCTTCTAGACGTTTTTGTGGAGATATAACTTCATTTAATCATACTTCTTCAAAATCACCATTATCAATTCCAACACAAGCAGCGCCACCTCAACCACCACCACCACCACCGGTACCACCTCAACCAACAAATCTTCCAACAATGTCTTTAAATAAAGAACAAATGAATAATTGGTTATGGAATTCAAATTTCCCATATTCACTTCTTCCTTATTTACCACGTTTAGCAACAATAAATCCATTTCTTAATGGTACATTATCACCATTTTTTTCTCATCCATTTTCATCATCATCAACAACAACAACAACAAATACAAATGATTTATCACCAGTTAATTCAATTGAAGAAAAAACAAATTCATCAACAACACCAATATCAAATAGTCCAAAGCAAGAACAAACAATAAAACGTTTTAATAATGATGATATTCCACTTGATTTAAGTGTTAAAAAATCTCGTTATGATCAATCACCAATAACATCAAAATCATCATCACCTGAACGTGATATAAAATCTCCATCAATAATACAAAATGAATCAAATCAACAAAAATTTTCATCAACAAAATATGATGTTGATTCATTATTAAATCATGTTAAAAATACAAAATCAAATTTTAAATTTGATATGATTAAACATTTAAATACATTTTATCATCAACAATCAACAACTATTTCATCATATCCTCAAACATCAACAACAACAACAACAGCAACAAATAATAATAATAATAATAATAATAATACTAATCCATTTGATAATTGGCAACAACATCAAACAACAAATAAATTACAATATTTTAATACTCGTTTAAATAATAAAGATAAATATACATGTTCTTATTGTGGAAAAGTTTTTCCACGTTCAGCTAATTTAACACGACATTTAAGAACACATACAGGCGAACAAGTAAATTTTTTTTTTTTTGTGTTACAGAAAAATCAAATTATATATATATATTTTTTTTTTTCTTCTTCTTCTTTGCTTTAGCCATATCGTTGCAAATATTGTGAACGATCATTTTCAATATCATCTAATCTTCAACGTCATATTCGAAATATTCATAATCGAGAAAAAAAATTTCCATGTCATTTATGTGATCGTCGTTTTGCTCAACAAATTAATCTTGAACGTCATTTAACAAAACATGAACGTGGTTTACCATTAGAAGATTTATCTGGTGATGATGATACATCATTAAATGATTATCCAATACAATCATCAACATCATCAAATCAAACACAATTATTAACAAATGCAGCAGCAACAGCAGCAGCTGTTGCTGCAGCATTTCATCAACAACATACTATGGATTTATTTCAACGTTTATTACCAACAAATACAAATAATTGTCAAACAAATAATTCAATTATAAATCAACGTCGTTCATCATCAGTTTCATCAACACATACAACAACATCAACAACAAATTCATCATTACAACAAACTAATGTTGATGAAGATGATACAATACAAAATGAAGAACAACCTGATAGTTGTTCACAATCAATACAATCCGAAGATGATGAAGATATTTCATCACCAATTAATTCTTGAACTATTTTAATACAGTCACATATTTGAATCTCAATGAACTGATAAAGTTTAAAAAAAAAATCTTCTTTTTTTTTTTCTTTCTTGTTTATTATTGCATTTCATCATATTATACACACACAACACAATACAACACAACACAACACATACACACCACTCTCTCTCGTTCTCTCTCTCTCTCTCTCTCTCTCTCTCGTTTTTTTTTCTTTTTGGCATTGCAATAATCTTCTTCTCGTTTCTGTCTGTCTTTGAATGCTTGTTTTTCTTTTGTTTTTGTGCACATACATTATATGGAAAAAAACAATATTTATTCCAAGTCTGTTTTTGTCGGTGGGTTTACTGACGCATATGGTGGTTGTACTGATGAAGTAGCATCTCTATAACATGGAGGACATTGTTCTAAAATAATTGTATCATCTTGACCAGAACACTTATATTCTAAATTATTGTTTACATCATTTCCAGAAATCGTATATGTCAATGAAGGATTAACAGCTGAATCTAAACAAAAATAAAAGCGTAGAAAAAAAACTGTAAATAATAATTACTTACTAAAGTTTTTCCAATTTTTTAACATATGTGTGCGCTTATTAATATTAACTAATGCAGTCAGTACAATAATAAGGCACAAAATACAAAGAAAACTAAAATTAAAAAAATTAATTTAGAAAAACGTTTACGTTAAAAACAACATTATTTACACAGTCCACCAGCGGTATCCAAATATTGTGATTGTTGTTGTTTGTTTAGGTGGTGGATTACAACAAGTTGTATTTTCTCGTGTGTGTTTTGAATTTGAACAACAAGTATGCGGACACCTAAAACAAAAAATGTTTTGTTTTTTTTACAGAATAATTATACTAATAGACATGAGAATGTTTAACTCTTTAAAATGAGGCCCTGATACATCGTGTTTATAGTATTGACAATATGCGTAGGCATTCGACTAAAGAAATGTAAAATAAGGATAAAACAAATGATTTTCAATGTTAATATTTACGATTTCAACGTGTTCAACAAAATATAATAGAAATATGAGCAATATTGTTGAGGACCATGAATATAAGTTAAGTGTTTTTACACTCATATTTTTGTAAAATATTTACTAAATGAAAAAAAGTTAGTTATACGATGCAAAGGTTTTAGAATAAAAATGAGCAAATGAAGAAAACACGACCAAGATATAGTTCACTTCTGGACTAGAGAGAAAAAAAATAGGAAGCATAAAAGCAAGTTTTTCTTCTCTCTCATTAACTAAAAAAAATTGGTTCATTAACTTTTTAGCTTTGCCTAGAAGCATCAGAATAGACACATAAATATCACAGAAGGTAAATATACCTCTTTGTGTAACTATTATTCTTTTTTTTCCATCTAATTTAAATAATAGAATTGACCCGTTTTACTTTATATTTCTTTAAAATTTCAATTAAATATATTCTTGTTGTTTTTTTTTTCTTCTTTGTTAGAAAAAAAATAATTATAATAATAAAACACAAAGAAAAAAAAGATATGTATGACTAGAAAACAAAAAAAAGAAAAGAAAAGAAAATTGTAAACAATAAATTCATCATGATGAAAGCGCACAATTAAGTAAAAGATCATGTTGCGAACGTTTTCTTAAAACTGTTTTCGCTTTTTCAACATATTCTTGTAAATAGTCATAGTTTAATTTTAATGGTTTTCTCTTTGCTATCATTTTTTTTAGATCACCATTTCTTGATATTTGTTTCCATGTTTCTAAATTTAATTGCAAGTCATACTGCCATGGTAATGTATAGTTGCTTAAATTTGTTGTTGCTTTTGATTCTTTTTGTGCATAATCAAGAGAATCAATTAGAAGAACTTTTGATAAAACATCAAACTAATCAAAACAAAAACATAAAATTTTAATCGAAAAGAAAAATTAAACTAACTGTTGGATGAACAATATGTGTTATAAAACCTATTTGTAATTGTACAATATCAGTTGATTCTCTATCAAATGTTGGTTTACGATCTTCATAATTAATTTTTTCTAAATCACCTTGTATAAAAAATTCTTCCATAATTCTTTCAGCTGATTGAATATAAACTGACCATGGTTTAGTAGCATTTGATATATCAGCTGCATGTAATAATGTTTGTAATAAAGTTTTTGAATCAGCTGATGGTGTTGTTGAATTTGTTTCTTTAAAATAAAAATATGTTGACATACGTTCAATTAATGATGCATGATTTGCCATATCAGTTGCTAGAACAAGTGATATAACTAATGAACGAAATGTACGATATTCATTTGTATCCATATTTGACCAAATATTACAACGTTTATCACGTAAAAGTTTAAACATTGAACTTGCATGATGATTTTCTAATATAAAATTAAAAAAAACAAACAAACAAATTCAAATTAGTTTTCTATTACAACTTAGATCAATGAAGTTTTAATTAAAAGAAACATGCGGAATATAAGTTTTCCTATTTTTCATGGGTTCTTTCATCGACTGACGACTACTATCGAGATAATTGTTTTTGTTCATGTAGAATAATTGAGAAAAATATTTATTATAAAATATTATCTTTCTATATTAATAGACTCAGTAGTATGTAAAAGAATTTGAAAACTACGAAGACCACCATCGGTCTTTTACGACCGGAAATTTTTAGATTTTTCATATTTAATTGTTGTGTTGCTTTAGATACGATTCGAAATATCCTCTATGTATTAGGTATAGTTCAAAAATTTATATATACAAGCCGGAAAACATGGAACATTTTTGCTGAAAACATATTATTCTGCTATTTTTCTAAAAACAAAAAAAAAGAAATAGAGAATCGCTTCCATTTCTTACCTACAATACATCTCAGATTGAACTGAAATTTTCTTCTACTTCTACTAGAAAGTGTTTAGGGTGCCTACGTCTATTTTTTTATTTCAAGGTAAGATGTACCAGGATTTATAAAAACAAACATATCTATTTTGAGGATGTTCTGTAGAGTTTCAAATAGGAGAAGATAAACAAACAACAAAAAAGTAGAAAATTCAAACAATGTCTAATATCTTTAAAAAGAAAGCTTCTAACCATATCAGACATATTATGATTGAGGAAAAGGGGAGACTATATTTTTTACCATTGCAACTATAATATCTTCTACAAGAAGGTATACGAGAATTTAGAGTCTATGACAACTTTTATTCGATCTACCCTGAAGCTCTCGAAAATTTTCTGATGAGTTGTTATTCTTCAACAGTACTAAAAAGGAAGAGTATCCTCTTAAGTAGATATTCTTGTTAAAGAATAGATCATAAGGAAGTTTGATGTCAAATCATCACTAATGGATTCCTGATGAAGTAAAGATCAATTAGAACATTCCAGAGATCTTACTTTATCGTTGTTACTGGTTTATTTTATATCAAACAGATGCATCATTTTTGTTTCTATTTGCTTCGAGTTTTCCTGTCGAAAGATGATGACATTGATATAAAGGAAGATTTCTATCAATGATTTATTCGTTCTGTATATCATCTTATTATTTATAAGATATGTTTTAATCTTGATCGAGAACATTTCGAATTAAAGAAAAATTTGTCTTACAAAAAATAAATCTTTAATAATTGTTTAATGTATAATCAATCGTTTTTTTTTTTTTTTCTAATAATGAAAAATCAAAACAACAACTCTATATAGATTCAGTCTTTTTTTTTTTCAATCAATGTCATATAGTGAAAGGCATAGAAATTTTGTATATTCTATTCATTTTCAATCATATTAGATGTCATAAAAATCATTTGAGCTATTATATATTAAAAGAATATCTTGACATGTATTCATATGAAAAACAAAAGACATCGTAGATCATGTTGTTTTTTCTCCTTTTGTTTCTTTTCTTCTTTTTTTTTGTTTTTGTTTTTACCTAATACACTAAAATCATTATAAATTAAAGCTAAATCATTTTTTGTTTTAACAAGATAACCATTATTTAAACCAGGATGTTCGTAATCATGAATGGCAGCTGAAAATAACTAATAATAATAATGGAACAAAACAAAAAAAAAAAAAAAAGATAAATACAAATGATAAATAAATAATTTATTTCAACTTACTAAGGCCGCTATTTCAATTTGCGTAAAAACATTCATTAAACTACTTTTTATTAATAGACAATGTGTCGTTTGAAGTACGTCGGCTCCATGAAAATCATTATGATAAGGAGTTTGATATTCTATACCGACAACATATTTATCAAAATGTTTTCTTTTTTCTTCTACATACTTTGATAACCATCTGTTAGAGCACGACAAAAATTTTTTAATGTTTCGATATCAATATGATAACGTGATATAATATCATGTGCATCGAATATAAGTAAAATTGAAAAAACAAATGGTTCATCATATTCCATCATATTAAATGACCATAAATTTAATTTATATATATCAACAGGCAAATCAAGTACGGCAGATAAACGTTCTTTAGCATTTTGACGTACTTGTCTTTGTAAAGCATTAACAAATGATGATGCTTGAATAACAGCTTTAATCGATTCAAAACGACTAGCAGCTGTTGTTGAACGTTGTGGTTTGGAAGAAAATGTTTGTTCTAACCATTTACTTATTTGTCCATCATTGGATGTAATATTTATTTCACTTTGTCTTGTATCATCAGAAAGAATATCGACCAAATTATAAAGAATTCCTTAAAAAACAAATCTTTATAGAACTGTTGATTGTTCTTTTCCGAAGCATCAAAGAACCTCAATTATTTAGTAACAAACAAGATCAAATAGTATTTTGAGAAAAAACAAAGAAACGCATGGATATATATTAAGTGATCATTCATGACCTCCATTTTAAGAATAACAGTAGAAGTAAAGAAAAACTCGAAACCATTGATTCTTTTGTTAGACGAGACTTTCTTTTTTTGAATTGTAATTTGAGAATAAGGAAAAAAAACGGAAAAAAAACCAACAACAACAACTTTATTATTGACATACCATCGAGTTCTTTACCAACTTTACCTAGTATTTCCACTTGGTCCGGTGGACCTAAAAAAAAGCTAACAGCAAGTTCAAAAGAAAAAAATCATAGCTTTTTTTTAAATTTGATTTTGAATAGATGGATTAGATAGATAATCTTTTCCTGTCTTAAGGATTTGTTTTTTTTTCAATTAATATAGAAAATTGAAAAAAAAGAAGAAAAAAAAAAGACTAGTGATTATCATTTACCATCTTTAGCTAAACTTGATTGAACTTTTCGAACTTGTTCAGTTGCTATACGAAGACGGCCAAGTATATTAACTGTTGTCATAGATGAATTTTCCGGTTTAATATTTGATGATAACAAATCGAAATGGTTCGATTTGTTCATATTCAATTACTAAATTGATAGTAATGGTGATGATGATGATCGTTGTGTTACTAGTACGGCTTTTATATTTTTCTTCTTCTTCGTCTTCTTTTTTTTCTTCTCTTTTTTTTCTGTAATATCGTCGCGTCGTCGACGATGTCGTTTTCTCTCTTGTATAGATGCGTGTATTGAAGTAAAGGATGCTTGCACTGACTGTTGTTGCACACACACACAAGCACAACACTGTGTTAAATGGAATAGATTCAAAACGGCAACATTTATGGAAATATTCTTTTCTTTTTTTTTTTTCGCGCGCGCGTTTATATATACAAAAAAAACAGTCAAATTGTAGAGTCTAACTGCTGTGTTTTGTTGCTATCGGTATTGTTCTCTGTTAAGATGTGCACAGCAACAGAAGGAAGTCTTCTAATGTGAGAAAAAAAATCAAATTATTCATCACACATTTATATTTACATGAAATAAAGATATGTTAAATATAAAGAAAAATATAATATTGTTGATCATTAGATAAAGATACACGTAATGTGTAATATTTAAAAAAACAAGAGAAAAGAAAAAAACATATGACTCAATTTTTTTTAATGAAGACGACTTTGACTTTAGAGTTTATCATTCGTAAGAAGGTAAGTCGACGAGTACTGACGAGCTAAGATTAATAAAGTAGAAAAGAAACGAGTGAATTTCTTCTCTTCTCTCGTGCTTCATCTAACATTTTCTTCTTCCTTAGCTTTTCCTTTATT